CCCTCCTGGCCCCTCCTGGCTGGGCAGCTCTGCCGAGTCCAGGCCCCCTCTCTCCTGGGTTTGCTGTCCCCTCTGCTCTCAGTCTCCTCTTCCCTGTGCCCCCCCTGCCCCTCTCTGGCCCCTGGTTCCTTCACTCACAGGTTGGCCCTGCTCTGGGAGTGGGCTACTCAGAGCCCTGGTGTCCCTGAGGCCCTGTCCCTGCTCGAGAGACGGCCACCCTTGAGAGGAACTCCTGTGCAGCCCCCGGGCTCAGCGAGGCTCCAATGGGAGGGTGCGCATGGGGCCTCTTACCCCAGGGGCTGGTGCGCGAGGGACCCCTGGGTGTGCAGGGGACACTCTCGCCCAGCAAGGTGTCCTCCCCTACAGGGACCAGCCTGCTGGCCTGACCCTTGTGGGAGGAGGTGACTGACATCTGAGCCACTGTGCCAAGGGCTTGGACTCAGAGACCCACGACGTCTCTTCCCGTCCCCCCGGGAGAGGGCCAGTCCCCACTGTGGGCTGTTCAAGTCCTCATTTATGACGTCCCCAGCTGTCCCTATAGACACGAATAAGCAAGGTCCCCTGTGATGCTCCAGACTTCAGGGTCCTTGGGGACCTCAGAGTGACTCCAGCGTGGCCTTTGACAGGGCTCGGAGACAGGAGCGATCTGCCTGGCAAGAGCTGAGGAGCCAGGAGACGCTCGGCCCCCGCTTGGCCCTGCTGCCAACATGGGCTCGGCCGCGGGAACCGACCCTCCAGCCGCGGAGCTTCTCACCCCCACGATGGCGTCACAGGACCCGCCTCCCAGGGCCTCTCTTCTTGTTGTGACATTTTTATTGAGACATAATTCACACACGTGACATCCACCGTCCTTGTGTCCACTCCAGTAGCTTCTCCCGTGTCCATGAGAGTGGGTGACTGTCACTACTCATCACCCTAGGAGCAAGCCCTGGACCCCTGGCAGTCACCCCCACTCTGCGCCGCAGGCCACACACCTGCTGACCGTGGATCTGATGGACTGTCCTGTGAGTGGAGCTGGGCAGGGCGGGCCCTTGTGTCAGCTTCTCCCACTGAGCGCGGTGTTGGCAGGGTCACGAGGTGCTGGCGGGTGTCAGGATAGCGTTCCTTCCCCTGGCCACAGCGTGCTTCAGCGTGTGGGTTGACCACACTTGATGTCGTCCAGCGGTCTCTGGACAGTGGGCTGGGGTGGTCCTGCAGCTGCGATGGTTGGTGTGTGACGTTTTGCACAGACCTAGGGTGCCTGTGTCCTGTGACCTGTGGGGTGGCACTGCTGTACAGATGAGGAGCCAAGGGGCAGGAGCACGTGAGCAGATGGCTCAGACCTGAGCCAGCCCGTCCATCTGGGTCCAGAGTCCATGACCTTGACCCCACGCCCCGGGTGTCCTGGAGCACCAGCGAGTGTCCCTGGTAAAAGGACAGCTGCTTCTCAGCTCTGTGCCTCTGGTGCAAGGCTGCTAGATCTCCTGCCCTTTACACCGTGTCCTCCAGCAGCCAGAACGCGGGCTTTCTGGGTGGGACCACCCCACGTTCACAGGTGGGCAGCTCAGCCGCATTTTTAACCCACAGTCCATGGGCCAAACAAAACAAGTCTGAGGCCAGGCCTGCGGCTGCCAGGTTGCTCCCTCTTCCCCAGAGCGGCTTGCTGGGGACATGCTGGGGACCTAGGCTTCAGGCACTTCCGAACTCTGGGGACCCGCCTTCCCCGGGGGCTTCTGGCCCCCTCTGGCCCGTCGTGTTGGGATCTGGCCCATCACTGACGTGGGGCTTGCGAGGCCCCAGTGAGGACGGCCTTCTTGGGATCCTTCCTGTCATCCTTTGGGGTCCCACCAACAGTGTGACTTGGGCAAGTGACTTGACCTCTGTGCCTCGGTGTCCCCGTCTCCCAAGCAGGGGTGACGGGCTCTCCCTGCAGGGTATGTGTGGCGCTGAGGGCAGTGTCTGTCATGAGCGCACGGGTGTGCCTATGCCGTGGAGCAGCGCGAAGGTGACTGCTGATGTCCATGTGTGGCCAGCCAGGCTTGGGCTGCGGGCAGCGGTAGCAGCGCCTGCGTGGACCTGCAGGGCCCCTTGCATGGTGCCCACGTGCACATTGAGCATCGAACATCCAAAGCAGAGGTGCGGTGGATGGCGTAGGCCATGGTCTAGGTGAGCCACGCTAGCCAGGGTGGTCAGAGGAGGCCTCTAGAAAGGTGACCTTTTTACTGAGCTATAGGAAGGAGCAGCCCTACAGGGCTTTATGGAGGGTTGTTTGGGCAAAAGTAATAGCAAGTGCAAAGGTCCTGAGGTTCTGGGTGCAGTGGTGCATGCCTGTGGTCAGATACTCAGAGGCCAAGGTAGGAGGATTGCAAGTTTGAGGCCAGCCTCTGCAGGTTAGACTTTGTCTCAAAATAAAACCTAAAAAAGGGGCTCAGGATGTGGCTCAGCAGTAGAGCACCCTGGATTCAATCTCTATACTCCAAAAAAAGAAAAAGTCTGCAGTTCAGGGTGGGCGTGAGGAGCAGTGAGCCAGTAGGGAGGCGGCAGGAGCCTCACTGAAGAGGATCAGGGTGGCTGAGGAAGTGGGGGTTTTCCTGGGTGCCTGGGAAGCAGCCGTTGGGGGTTGAGGGCAGGGGAGGAACACAAGGCACAGGGGGCAGGGGGGCCAGGTGGAGAGGTTGGTGGCCCTGACCAGGGAGGTAGCAGGGAGGAGAGAGCTTGAGGCTGTTCCTGAGGGATTTGGACCCAGGAGAGGCTGGCGGCCAGGGGCTGCGGCCAGGTGTGCGAGGGTGGGGCCCACAGTGTGGGCAGGGCCTCTCTAGCCCTGCCCCAGGCCACGCCCTCCTCACGCCCCCTTTTCTTTAGTTTTTGGGCTGCCAGGGGTTGATCCCAGAGCACTGCGGGATGGAGCCATACCTGCAGCCCTTCTTATAATTTATTTAGAGACAGGTCTCACGGAATCGCTGAGGCTGGCTTTGAGTTGTGATCCTCCTGCCTCAGCTCTGGAGAGGCACCGTGCTTGAGGTCGCCTTGTCTGCTGTCACTCCGGCTGCGCCCGTTTCCGTCTTTTCCTTTGGGCCTCCTGTGACTCGCCCTCTTCTGTGACACTGGAGAGGACTTGCTCCGCTCTGAGGCGGTTATTGAAGGGCTGGGCGGAGCCGGACTCCCAGGTTCCTAACGCCAGGGTCTTCTGGAACCCTCGGATGGTGGGCTTGCTGGAAGTGACGGCAAACCCAGATCCCACTGACGAAAGAGCAGGGGAAATGTGGCGGACACTCTGGAGCCGGAGCTCCAGCTTCAGGCCCACGAGGATCTAGGGCTCTGTGTGCCAGGACTGGCCCCGTCTTGTGCCCTGAGTGGTCAGGTGGCAGCATTAGGTGCTTTATCCCCAAACAGGGCGAGGCAGCTGGTGCAGAAGGTGAGACGCTGCCCTCTGAGCCAGTGCCAGGCTTCGGAGAGGAGCTTCCGAGTGAGGGCCCGCGGGCGGGTGGGGGTCCGCGCTGGCCTGCAGCTGAGCGTTTCGAAGACCACTCGAGGGCTGCTTCCATGACTCGTCCCGGATGAACCCGCTCCACCAGGTCACATCACATCCCTAGGCCTCTGCCCCACGTCCTGCAGGAGGTCTGGGACACTGCCCGCCGGTTCCCTGGGCAGTGGATGCCGTCCTAACAGTGGACATTCCCGGCCTGCAGCGCCCTGCCCGGGCCTAGATACGTCAGTGAACTCCAGGTCCCTCCGGGCTGCTGTGCGTCCTCTCTGGCCCCGTGCCAGCGCGGGTGTCTGTTCTGGGCGCGTCCACCGTGGGCCTGTGGCGGTCTGCGAGGGAGGTCACTCACCACAGGCGGTCTCCTGCTTTTTCTTTGCCTGGGCGTTTGTGACATCCCTAATTTTTAGGTTTCTTGAAAACAGAGAATAAAACCAGCCGCAGCCGCATTTCCTGACCCCAGCATCTGGTGGCCACTCGTCGTTCGTCATGTTTGGGGAAAAGAGTGTTTTGATCATTTTTCAAAATTGGACTTTAAAACTCTGTCACCGGGTGCCCTGTCAGGCCTTTTTTTTTTCTTTTTAAAACATTTTGCAGCCAGACTTCTCAGGGTTCCCTGGACTGTGGTCTCCCGGATCTGGTGATGGTTTTCTCCTCCTCCTGGGGCAGGGCAGGTTCCCGCCTGGGCGCAGCAGGAAGAGGAGCGGCTGAGGGGGCCGAGGGGCGGCGGAGCTCTGGCCAGGCCCCCTCACACCCTGTGAGTGCGATGTTTGAATCAGCCCTCCCCCACCTTTTAAAAAAACGTTTAAAATAAAGGACCGTTTACGATGCCTTTGAACAAAACCACTGGGCGTTAGAACCGTCCTGACATGACGGTGACACTGACACATTCATAAGTGACTTGTGGCCCTGGGGTCCCGGGAAGCAGACTCGGCGTCAGGGTCAGTTTCCAGGGTGAAGAGAAAAGAAAGAATGTCCCGCTGTCCCGAGGGGGCGGGGCAGAGGGGCACCATCACCATGGTGACGGAGGAGGGACCAGGAGTGGCCTCCCCAGCTCCCTGGCAGCCTTGGCTGGGCATCTCTGGCCACCAGGGAGGCCCAGGGAATGGGGCCCCAGAAGGGCACAGTGTTCTGTGCTACGGGCTTCTGAGAGCTTCGCGGAGGGTTGAGGGGAGTGGGGCCGGAAGGCCAGGGGTCAGTGGCCAGAGTGTGGCCTCTGGCCGTCCGTCTCCTCCCCTCCTCCGTCCCCTGCTGTCTTTGCCTCTTCCCACCTGCCCGTCTCTCCTCCCCGTCCTCGACCCCCCCTCCCTGCAGACTCCTCTCCTTCGTCAATGTCCACTTGTCCTCCAGGGGTCCAGCACCTACCTGGCACCCGGTAGGGCCCACGCCTCTGTCCGAGGGCTTTCCCGAGTGCCTGGCCTCCCCTGCCTGCTCCTGTCCTTTGGATCTGCCTTGGCTCCGAGCAGCAGGTCTGTCACCTGCTTCTCCGCTCAGTGGCACCTCCCACCTCCCCAGCTTTAGCTTCCCACCGCACCCCCCTCCTGCCCTCCTGGGGGCTCTGCGCTCCCCATTTCTGCACCTGCACTGCCTCCCGGGCTGGGGCTCCTGCGTACCCAGGGACAGGTTTTGGGCGCGTGCACGAGTGTTTTCAGCTGATGGCTTGATCCGCGTGCTCCGGAGGGAGCGGGGGCCTTGGGGTGGTGGGGAGCCCGTGCCAAGGAGGCCGCCAGCTGGGCCGAGTCCCCATGGCCTGGGGAAGGGCCACTGCCCAGGGAAGAGCAGCTTTTTGCCCCTAGTGAAGGGGTCCTCCAGGGGCGGGCCGCGCGCCTTTGGCCCAGGTGGGCCCACGGTATGCTGGGCCAGGGCAGCCTCCCCCTCCAGATGGCAGCCCCAGAACTTCCGCCCCGAGCAGCCGTTGAAGATAGGCCTGGCAGCGTTGGGGACAAGGGACAGGCACATGAGGCCTCTGCCTTGAAGAAGAAAACCAGAATCCTAAGGATAGGTGGGAGTTCCTCGTTTGTCAGCCGTATCTGGGACGTCCTCGCAGCGCTGGTGAGTCTCTAGAGTTGACAGTTTCCGTTGGGGCGGTTCTGATAAAGCTGATGGCCGCGTGTGGTGCGGTCACCACCAGGGCTGCCCTGCAGTGTGGCGGTGAAGTCGTTTGGACTTTCGTGGCCTGCTCTTCGGTGGTCGCAGCACCTGCTGGGGACTTCCCGGCCGGCTCCTCTGACCCAGCTTCTTCTTCCTTGCCAGCGGTCCGACCACCAGGGCTTCCTGGGCTCAGCCTCACCTGTCCCCGTCACTTTCATTGATGTCACGAAGTCAGCGTCCTTTGAAGGACTTGCAGTTTCACTGCAGCTGTTTGCTGTCCATTTCTCCTCTGTGG